TCACTGATCTTAAGATAACCACAGCTAATGTAAAAAACTCCAATAACTCTACAAACACCATCATCACACACAAAACACATCGCAAACCCATTCTCTGCTTCCACCTCTGTTCCCTCTAATCTTCCTATCACTCCTCTTCCCTCAATCCTCTCGTTCCTCTCCTCCTCTCCTCTGCCCTGGCACTGATCCAGTGTGTGCCTACACATATTACATTTGCAGCACGCCATCCTTCACCCCGAAGTGGCAAAGAAACCCAAGTTCTTCATTCACTCGCATTATTTACACAAACAAAGTCCCACTCTGTTTCTGTGACAAAGCCAGCTAAATCTTTATGGCTCTTTCATGTATTGTCTGCTCACGGTTCCCTTTTGTCCCCCAGCCATTGGCCTGGGCCTTGGATACAATGAGCCCGGGGGAATGGAGGCAGATTGAAGGAATGCGCCTCAATAAACCTAATTATGACATGATGACTGCGCTCACCATGGTAGGGGTTTTTCAAAGATCCCGGGCTTATTCAATTAGCCCTTTCCAGGATCCCCTTTCACCAAATAAAGTTATCCCTTTGACTGTTTGCATTGGAGAGTGGAATGTGTGTGTGTGTGTGTGTATGTGTGTCTATGCATGTGGTTGCATGTATGTGTATGTGTATGTGTGTGCGCACACAGGGCTGGCCTAAATGGAAATGTATCGGCCCTCAACAAGGCTCCTCTGTATTATCTGGCTAATTTCACCTAACGAAGTATGGGCTCTAAAAGATACACTGTGAAAATGTGAAGCAGGAGGAGGGAGGAGGCGGGGACACCGTGACTGTTTTAATCATTAACTTTGTCTCCAGGGTTAATTACTACAGCCCAGCAACAGGCCTGGAGGGCCAGCCTTACTGCCAATATATAAAGATTTGATAGAAAATGGAGAGGGGGTGGAGATTTTTGAGTATGAATTTCTTTCTGTTTTAACTTATATTTGCTTATTGCATGGGGATTTGGAAGAACATGTGGTTTAATTTAGATTTATATGTCAAAAGATAAGTCTTTAGATTACATTTTAATTATAACCATTCAATAGTCTGAGCAACAGGCTGTGTACACATAGTGTAGGGAATTTACCTACAATAATAATAATATCTCACCTAAGGCCCACCTAAGTATTACTGCTTTAAAGTTGCCATTCAAGAGTTCAAGTTAATGATAATGAGAAAAGAGAGCAGGTAATAGAAAAACGGGGCTTAATGTTTGGTTTGCATATTATTAATCTGATAAGGTATAAAACTGGTGTTACGTTGATAGTTTGGTGTTATTTCATTAGCTGATAATATATATTAACTGACTGACTATAAGATGTCTTGTGTTGAAAAGTCACAAGATATGTTGTTCCAATGCAGACTCATAAGTATAAAAATAAAGGTGGTGGCCATCTTAACTAATACAAAATATTTAAATTAGGCTTTGATAATAATCAGAATTAGTTACTGCAATCAATTTTTAAGCATGACATTTTTAAATTGAATATTTATAATCAAACCGCAAAAGGTTCTTAAAGAACTCAATTAGAAACTTTAGGAAAGTGGACTGGCTATCTTTTGTGCGCTCCGGACAAGGATGCAGCCCAGATAAGAAGCGAGCTGTGCGCCGCAGGCTGAGAGAAACAGAGAGAAAGAGTAGGAAACAGAGGGAGAGGGGCGGTGTTGCTCTCCAGATGAAAGTGAGATGAAATAAAAGAGTCGATTTAATCTGCTTGAAGAGATTTGGGGAGCAAGTGGTGAGGAAGGAGGGGGACCGAGAAGGGGGGGTTTGAGTTTTCGGAGTCGAGCGCTGCGCTGCGCACGGACGGGTGGCCGGGGCCCCCATTGTGAAGCTGCGCTCCGGGCCAGAACGGGGCTCTCCGGGGAGAACATTGGTCCCCATTCACCCAAAACACTCTTTAATACACTCCCTCCGTCATTAAATGTGACATAGCACAATATCGACATCATTTAGAGGACATTATTAATGTTCGAGGGGGCAAGGCCGGGAATCATCAAAGAATCAATAATAGATCATGAGTTAGAGGCTGGAGACGTCTCGGTATTATTAGCGTCATCCTTCAAGGCGGAGAAGGCCACTTTGTTTTGTTGACCAATTACAGTCTGAATATTATGACACACAGCAATTAGACTTCATCAAAAGCTGCTGAATCGGACAATGTTGCCTTTTCTCTTTTAGAGTGAATTGAACTGAATTACAAGAGCAAAAAGACAGAGAGAAAGTTATTCCAAGCTCACTGAAGTCAGAAAAAACAAATAAACTCTGCTAAATGTATGTATAACTTATATAAAGAACAGCAGAGAATCTGAATTATAGCTTGTGTTGGCATTTAAAATGTTTCTTACTGACTTCTTTTGAACTTTCTCTTCCTCTAAAATGTTCAGGAAATTAGCTCAGGAAACATGCGCCTTTATCAACACATGCATTGTGTTACTTCGGGAAGGGCGCATCTTAAATCAAGGGTAAATGTTTAATACTTATTTGTGCGCGCACACGTGTTTTGGGGGCGAGCACGCATCCTTGGGCAATACGTGAGGGGATTTCAGAAGCCTCAATTGTCATTCTGAATGGCAGTCGGCTTCTTTAGCCGACCCCAAAAGGAAACATTTTGTAGGTGAAAACGGCCATTTTCTCTCGGTGAACGGGCCCTCTAAACCATGCCGGAGCGCTCCCTGAATAATTCATCCTTCATTGCGGCCTCATAGTGTGTTTTGTCGGGCTTTTCTGTGGAGAAGCTCTCCTCTCCCCTCCCTTTTCTCCGACTGAATTATAAACAGGTTGCCTTCTTCTTTAGCGGCGGCCAAAGCTGTTTCCAAGCTGGCCTTTTGTCCGCGCGCAGCCCAAGCGTGAGCCTCAAATAGACTCTCGCGCCTTTGTCTCCCAAGTTCATCCCTGAGCGTCCCGTTGTGCGCGCGAGGCGTGTCTTTGTGAGGAGTTGGAAACCGTTGAACAAATGTTTGATCAACTCATCTGGGGGACATTTTGTCTCCTCAGACTAGAGTCCTTTATCTCTCCTCCCCTGTTTTAGTGATGGAGGGACGGAGACAAGCTAACAGGGAAACAGAGGGCTAAATATTGACACTTAAACTTTTTCAAACAGTGGGAAGAGAAGGGAGGGAAACTGTTGAACAACTCATTTTGGGGGCCATTTAGTCTCTGGTGTTATAGAGATGAATGGTGGTGTATTATTAAGTGGCACAGCATTAAATATTTAATAGGAATTTCTAAATTTTAGTAACAACATCGCCAGCTCTAAAGTTAGACGAGGCGGAACTACCATCACCTCCAGTGTTTCACCCAGGAATTAGCCATCCCCATTTCACTCTAGCTGTCACACACCGAGCCAATGGGCTAGACTGAAAAGTATAGGCCTAATTACATTTTCCATGGCGAAAAGAAAAATATTTAACTTAGAGTAAAGGGTGGCAAGCACATTATCGGCTCAGTTTGGTTTCTACAAAGACACAAACTCACCGGCGAGGCGACAGTTATCCAAATGCGTTAAAGAGAAGATGTCGCCTGTCCATTATGGAGGTTGTAATCATTTGGATTAAACTTGGAGCCAGCCGTGACGAATTTCCACTGTAATGACGTAGTGAGAGAGTGCAGCGGGCTAATGAGAGCAACGAGCCCAGACCGCTCCCACATCTCCAATTAGGCTACTGTGTGTCACACTGCAATGACGGGCATGAACAAAGTGTGTCATGTTTTATTCCTTGGCCTGCAACACATCCGGTGCCACTTTCACCAAAAAAAGAGGCTTGAGCCTTAACTGTAAAAATGTCCATCTTTAAGTTGTTTTCTTAAATAGGAATAAACTTTCTGGTGGAATGAGTCGATGCACTTGTTCCTCATGCAAATCACTTTGAAAAACTAAATTTAAAACCTCATTTAAAACCTCTAAAATAACTAAACTTAAACTGCACTGAAAACGATCTATCTAAGTCGTTTGAATTATTTTTCAATTATTTAGTAAAAAAAACAAAAGCTCTTTGGAGTAAATGTGAGACTGAATATCCGAGCTTGTACAGGTGGTCACTTTTTACAGTGGACGCTGCTGTTTGAAACACTAATAAAAATCGATTTGTTGCATTAAATAATAGCCAAACTATAAACAAACAGCCAAGCAACGGCCCAAGAGAAATGTGAACTGTTTCCATAATTTATTGAGGCATTATACTTAAATATGCTGTGAGAATACTGTGAGTGGCCTGCTTTTGTCACTTGCTAATCCACAAAAATAAAACAATGTTTAATATATGTGCAACGACTTGCTGTAACATCATCCACACTGCTTTAAAACCAACTGCTGAACACACACACACACACACACACACACACACACACACACATAAACACACAGTGCACACACTCTCCTTTTCCCGCACAGAGCCATCACCTGCTGTTTGATTTACGGTATGGCCTCATGGGAAAAGCATTAGCAGGAGAGATATGGTCGATAAAGAATTCCTAACAAAGGACGACACGCACTCTCCACCCCCAGCCAACAACTTTACAGCATGCTAAAACTTCACATGGAGGCCAGTTATACGACTAAATAAACCCAATCTCCTTTAAGCCCAAAAGCAGTCAACAGGTTGGAAGCGTGGAGACTCAGGATTCACAGATTTCTTGAGGAGGTCACCCTGCAAAATGGGATTGTACTCCTCTGTAATTTAATTCACTGGAAAATATCCCAATTAGAGAGTATATGTGAATGGACAGCCTGTTAAGTTTTCACTTTCCCTATGATAATATTTTCCAAAGTGCAGCTCAAACAGACAGTTTAGCAACTGAATGCTAAATTAAAAACCCTCCCATATGGAGTCAGTGAGGTGATATCTGATCCAACAGGATTCCACTGGGCTCTAATGTGTGTGTGGGTCACTGATATGAAAAAGATAAGCCCATAAAGTGAAGTAAGTGCCAACTATTTTTCTTCCACATCAGCCACAATAACTCCAGCAGCTCACTTACATCTGTCTCCCAAGATGCCTTCGATGCTGTGTTTGGCCCTCCGGTCGTTGTCCTCCATCTCTTTCTTCTCGATTTCATCTTCATCCTCCTCTTCGTCCCCTTTTCCCCCGAACTTACTCCGCATGATACGACTGATGGAGCTCACTGCAAAAGTTCGGATCAAAGAAGTGGAAATTTACAAGAATAAAAATAAATATGTGTTTTTGTTTTTTTTTTAAAGACAAAGTATTATTAATTTAATTATTAATGTGAAACAAATAAGCGTTAGAAAATTGTCAAAAATGAAAACACTGAGAAGTAGTAAAAGTATATAGCTTTGTCAGATGTTTAAGGGGGAAAGGTTTTATTACTTATTACTTTTAATAAATAAAATACTAATAAAAAATATTTCCTCGATTACGCTGTAAAACTGTTGTGGTCGAAGTTTAAATTTGTAGGATATTAAGGAAAAAATGAAAAATAAAATAAAATGTATAATAATAATCATAATAAAAATAATAATGTGTAAATTCATTCATTTCTGCCCTTTTTTACCTGAAGGAACGTTGTTGCGGTCACATATCCCATCCTTCAGTAATTTATCCCGAATCTCCCAGCTAAACATACCCGGGTTTTCCCGCTTGTATTCTTCTATTCTCTTCTCTACGTCCGGCGTTGTTCCCTGCTTCAAAGGTCAGAAAAGTGGCAGTGTTTAGTCACTTTGTTGTGGCCCTTGGGGCACAATTCATACATAGCCTGTATAACTTTAAACACATCAACAAGTTAATATTCTTTGTTAAGAGTTAAGCATTCAGTGTGGATGGATTCCTATTCAAATGACTGAGATATTTTAATACAAGTGTTAATACATGAGCCTCTGATCTGCGTTGTCTACCTTGGGTTTGCTGCCACCGATGGCCCCGGGTCTGATGGAGCCGGTCTCCTGGTACCGGCACAGGATTTTGGACACGCAGCCGTGGGAGACCCGGAGCTGTCGGGAGATGACACACGGCCTGATGCCGTGGTGGGCCATCTCCACGATTTTATGTCGGATGTGGTTGGGCAAGGGTCGGCCATTTATGAAAACTCCTCCGAGCTGGTTGACTCGGCCTTGTCCCAACGGGGTAGACACTACATTTGAATCAAAATATGAGAGGAACTTGTCATTAAAGTGATCCGGTCCATGCTGTTACAGGCTAAACACCACGAGGAGAAGTTTGAAGTGACCTCAAACAAAACTGAATACACCAATAACAGGATATTATAGCATGAAGCAGCTGCTTTATTTAACGCTCCAAAAGAGGCCATACAGGTTTAGCTTATTACATTTTTAGGCAATAGCTTACAGATATAAATAATTATCCATTAAAACAAATACAAAATATAATACTAATAGCATAATTATTTGACATTGTCTCTAAACAAGTTTGCTCAAAATTATACCAACATTTTTTAGAGGAAAAAAACTGTAAAATAAAAATAATGAATATATTCTAAATATGTGAGTTCAGCTGAAATGAAATAAGCTGTAGGTTAATTCTTTAAAACGCTTAGCCTATGTCCTATAACTGTGCAGACGTTGTGTTTCTAAGCTGAGTTTTGGGGCGAGACTTTTTAGACTAACTAGCACTGACAACCAAATATCTTCCGTCAACATCCCGGGCTGTAACCTTCCTTCTGGCAGTGTGATGCTTTACCTTCCAGAGGGAAACCACTGCGGGGGTAGTTCTGAGCCAGCGTGGGTCGCATCATCCTGGGTATTGACCCCGCCAACGCAGTCATACCTCCACCACCCCAGTGACTGCAGATACCTCCTCCTAACGGGGAGGCTGCTGCCGCCCCAACACCGAGTTTACAGCAGGAGGACGTCGTGGAAACCGTCCCTTTCGCCCGTGTGGAAGCCTGGAAGGTTAGCCTCGGTTAGCCTCGGTTAGGGGTTAGCCTTACCCGGGCTACAGCCAAGCACCAGTGTCCCGGGACAGCCACAACCCTCTGAGGAGTCAAATGTGACGACAAAAAAAAAAAGAAAAGAAAAGAAAAACTGGATTTGTGGATGTTAGAAAGAGCTCGTGTCTCAGTCTCCTCGGGTTTAATTCGCCACTATCGAGGCTGTTGGACATGTGGTTGCCAAGGCGGTGCAGCTAGGACGAAAATATTGTTGTTGTTGTTTGTTGACACCGGTTCAAAGTGAGGGGAGACCGTCAAAAGTAGCGGAGCTCTTCTCTCTCCCCGTCAGCGCTCCCGGCTGTGATTGGTGGAGAGGGTACACCCGCTACGCGGCGGGGCGCGAGGATTGGCTGAGGCGGAAAACTTTTGTCCTATCAGAGACGCCGTCACAGGACAGTACGGGGCGTCAATTCACTAAACCCAAAGCTATGGCAGAGACACTGCGAGTGCTGTTTGACCACCAAAACGTCTCGCAATATGCTTATGTGTTTTTGGTGAATGGCGGGATGAAAGTGGAGCAAAGACCGGTGTGATTATAAGCTTCATTTGATCAATGATTAGCAGGTCACCAAACTGTTGTGGTCTGGTCCTGATGGGAGCTTTCCCAAGTAAATTAGTGTCAATTCATCTTTTATAATCTTGGAAAATGAATACAGAATAGAATTAGGTTAATACATAAAGCCAAGGTAAGAAACGTACTGTATTGACGGCTGACATGCCCTCACTAACAGAATCCCGACCGTGTAATGCAGTCTAATGCAACGGACAATAACTTTAGTTTGAGACATATTTCTTCTTTTTCTATGTAAATGAGGTGGACAAAATATTTTTTAAAAGCACGTTCAGTCCAATATATCATTATTGCCGGGCTGCTGTATTCCACTGCATTCGGATTACTTTGTTGCATTATATTTGACCTCACTGACCACGGGCTCCATATGGATCTATGATTTGACACCAAAACTTCCAGCCACGTTTTTCTCGACCGTACTCAGTGATGACTGACGCTCTTAATATTTGCGCTCCTTATTTCCCATATAGGTAATTGTGTTGTATATTTTTATATTTTACCCAGCCCAGTGTTCCTGACATTACTTTCCTTTCGGCTAAATGTTATAAAAACCAAACAATACAGTAGCCCAACCTGACAAAGCCCTAACTTGTGACTTTTGCCTTTGCAGATCTTTACGCAAAACTCAAAACCAAAAAAAAAAATACATCGCTGAGATTCCTCTCAAACTGTCACTGTGCGTAACAGCATCTGTACACTGTTTAATGCGTGCTATCGCACACGACCCCTAATTTGTTTCCACCCCATGGCCTCATATATGACACAAATGGTGCTAAAGTGTGTGCACCTCAAGGAATTTATTGTGGTTTTCAGACTGAGCACCAGCCAGCCGAGAACAGTCTGAAGGGGGACGTGCGCCACAGCAGGATACGACGCCAGGGCGGCCGTAAAGCCAGTCTAGCTCTGTGCCATTGAGAGAAGTGGGTGTATTTCCATCCCCAAATGTCTAATAATCAATATTGTCACCTCACAAAAAGAAAAAAGAATTATGTTCAGTTTTTTGGCCCTCTCTCTCTCTTTTAGGCGCTGAGTATCGTGGGTCACAGCCTCTTTTAGTCCCCAATCAATCACTGAAGCAATGGTTCCGCTCCTGAGCTCTGAAATCAGACAAAAGCTCGTTTTCCTTCACTGTCCATCATCTGAAGAAAGGCCACTCACCATATTAGCATCAAAGTTGATCCTTTTCACCAGTGCGCGAGAAGAAGAAAAATGTAAAAAGATTTTTGGCTTCATTCAAATTTAATTCATTTAATTTCATTTTATTTTACTATTGTTTTCGGACACATGACAGAGCAGCAGCGGGGTCAACCCTTCCTCACGTCGACCAGGTGGGGGTTTGACCTCATGTATCCATAGGCAATCAATGTACAGTATCCAAGACAATAAAGAGAATTGTTAAATATTTATTTGTGATCAAATGCGAGACTGCAGGCCGATGAGGAAAACCATGCAGTTGCAGTCTGCAAGGAAAAGCCCCGTAATCTTCCTGTGACTCCTGCAAAACTAAAGCTGAAAAGCACCTCCAGCACCTGATCAGCCCTTTCATGTCCCAACCCACTCACCTATGGGCTACGGAGCAGTAACGGGTGGGCCCGACTGGGGGGTGGGGGGCACCGGAGTCCCTGTCATTCACCTTAATTTACGCAGGGAAGAGATGTCCCACAGGCTAAGTCGGTTTCAATTCACATTCGCCTCTTTTTAGCCGCTTTGGATAAAAGCGCACTTCAAATGTTGACTTTACTGTCAAAAACGGGCGCGCACAATGGGTGGACGCTGGCTTTAAAATAAGCAGGGCTAACGGGGGGGCTTTCACCTGCTAAGGAAGATGGCATTGTCTCCAGGCAGAAGATTATAATCACGCTTAGAAATGAATGGATCCTGCAAGTTGTCATGACATGGCTTCAAAGAGAGGGGAAATGTGAGTTAGTGTTTGAGCCTTTTTACATTGCTAATAAACAGATAAGCTTTGAAGAATGGCTTAATCAGACTGTAGATGATAATTTTTTGAGTCCCAATTCAGGCCAAATGATCATGAAATGAGCAGTTGTGGGCTTTTGCAGGCTTGAGGCGAAAAAAACATGAATAGGCCACTGTTAACACGTGGACATTCTAAATGTTTTCAGCAGTTTGAGGAATAATAAATTGAAGGATGAACTTTTAGGCTGTATTAGTCACAGTTAATATTGTTTGCGTTTCTCCCATTTGTACTGACTTATTCGTCAAAGGAAGAAACCATCAGTCTTTACGCTGACGAACGTGACGATTTGGGAGTGTCATTGATCTTATTGAAATTGGATATTACAGCCAAAAAAAAAAAAAAAAAAAAACAGAGAGCAAATGGAAAACAGAGAAAGTCAGGATGCATACCTCGGCCCTTGCTTTAAACGCGACACTGAATCTCCGTGTCCAATCCATTACCGGAGGATGAAATTCAAAGTCAGAAATCTCGCTTGATGAGAAATAAATTAGTTGCATCGCATGCTCTCTGCGTGGAGGCCATTCACAAACACCCATTTGTCAAATCAATTAGTTTTTCCACTGCACCCCATTACCTAATAATTCATACAAAGACAGAAGAGTTAAAATAGGGCTATGTCAATTCATTCAATAATTGTATAATAATTTATATTATGACTTACAGCGAGTCTACAGAGACTAGACCTTGTATACTTTACTTTTTTTGTATCATTTTAATATCGATATAATAGACTAGTGAGTATGCAGAGGCCTTTTGTGCTGTAACTTATTTCATTTTTTAACTGCAATGGTAAAATCTGAAATTCCAAAATGAATAGTTTATATTCAGCTCCCCTTTAACACAAGTCGCAGCAGGCATTATATAAAAGGGCCACATTCAAAGAGTTATATTAATTATATTATTACAGATTCATAAACTTATAGGCCTATAGGTTGAGATAAGTTTAACAATTTAATACACTGCTGGACAGTTCATCTATAACAATACGCTTACATTTTATAAAAGTAATAACTATAGGCCATAATGAACTAAATTAAAACCTATTTTCCTCTGGAATGTAGTGGAGTGGAAGTATAAAGTACGTCTAGTAAAAAATGGAAAACGATCGTAGTCTAATAATAATAATAATAATAATAATAATAATAATAGGTTAATCCTATAGGTATACCTAACAGCTAGTGGGCCTACCATGTAACATTCCACCACTGTTTCTATTAATGTCGCTTATAGGCACCTTTTTTTTTAATTGGTCAACTAAATATATTTATTCGCTGTACAGTAACAACTGGCGCACTTTAAACATGCCACAGTGTTTCATGGTAGCATAAGCTACATGCTAATAGAGTCAGAAATGAATCCTAATGCGTTGTCTATTAAAACAAGGGGAAGCATCCAGTTACAGTAGCCGCCTAGAGCAGTAAGATACGCTATATGTTTATGTTGTCCATTTTCTGTCTCCTTGTCATGTAGCATGTAGCATGTAGCTGAGAGGACAAACAGATAGCCCAGTTACACCAGTGTCTAATGAGAGGCATCAGAGTCCATTAGCCGAGCATCCTTACAACAACATGTCCTCTGATTTTGTTTGTTGTCATGGCTAATCTGTAAACACACATTTGCCTCCAACTATTTTCCAGTAATCAGTGTCACTGTAACCGACTGAAAGACACAGCTAGCCAAGGATACAATAGGCTTTAGTGTCTCAGTTAACAGAGACTTGTTTACATGCTGCTGAGAATATGAAGGAGAGGAGGGAGGTATAGACTGTGTGACAGCTTTAATTTATGGGGCATGGAACTTTTGGTTAATACATGATGTGAAGTATGCATGTCCTAAATAGTAACCTGTAATGAGATGGTGATTGGTCAACATTGGTTTTTATCTCTTCTGTTTGTTTATGAGGGGGGAAGTCTTGTTGCTGAATGGCTCAGTTTATATCAGCTAAAAGGGAGCCTTGTATGAACAGGTAAACACACATGAGAAATCCCAGTGTGTGATATTAAGGGCGCATGAGCAACCAGCCCATATTGAAAAATGTATTTACTTTTAATCAAGTTTCAGCCACTAGAAGTTTACACAACTAGACCTACATGAGAAATGAAAGCTGACACACGGGTGGGGGGGGGTCTTCACTTTTTTACAACATGTAGCATCCTTTGTCAGCCAGTAGGGGGCGTATTTGATGCACAGCATGAAGGATGAAATACTCAGTCTGACACTGGGAGGAGGTGGAACCCTCAAAGAAAAAAAAAAAAAAGTGTGTGTGTGTGTGTGTGTGTGTGTGTGTGTGTGTTAAATACATACTACATTAATTACTATTATGTAAGGTTAAGGTAATGTTGTTGGCAGCATGAAGCAGGAGGAGTTTAGTGACCATCAGTGTGTTTTTGAGTCAGTTTAACACTGAATATTAAGGGGACCATTTTTTTTGTTTAGCTTTGGGAGGCATTTGATGACTCGTCATTTCAAATATTCTGTCTGCCTGTGTGTTTGTGTGGTGTGGTGGGGTGGGGGGAAGGATTACGCTCTGGCACAGGAGGATGCTAAATGCATCAAGTCATTACCAGTCATTATGTAAGACTGTGCATGATAAAATACAGCCTCTGTAACAGGATATTCTGCCAGCTGTTGGTTTCACTGTACCGACACAAAGGATGAATGAGATGGGTATTCATGTTTCCTTTATTACTGAAATTGTGTTTATGTATGTAAAACAACACATAAGGAACAATTCTCTGTGCAAATACGTTTGGTACTTCAACAACAACCACAGATTCTCATAAAAACCAACCACATTTTCTAGGTCCTCTGAAATAAATACAATATGCGTACATTTGTCAAAAGGTGGACCCCGTTACTTGTGCCAAATAAGAGGGTGAAAGTGCATCATCTGACAGTTGGGAGAAGGCTGAGCAGGATGATTGAAGCAAGCATGGGAATCAGGGTTTAAGAATCATGTTGGACTGTTTTTTTTTTTTTTTTTTTTTTTTTTTTTTTTTTTTGCTTTTTTCCCCGTGCAGTGTTGTAGGGACACCATGAGAGTGCGAGGGCAATAAGTGCTTCAATCACTTTGGCGTCCGAATCATCTCAGTATTCTCTATCAAATGCCGACAGGAAGGTCAGGGAGCCAGAGCATAACACAGGAGTGCAATAACACACATGCTTCATGGACCATCACACATTTGTCAATATGAGGGTCTTCACACTGCACCACAAATAAGGACTTTTTTGCCATATTCAAGAACTATAAATAAATAATTGTATAGGTTGTAGCGACAGTTACATACACAGAATTTACCAACGGTTCACAGTAATATCCATAAGAAGCAGTTTTTTGATTACACTGAAAAGTTAATTCAGTGTTCCTGTTCTGATACAGACCCGCAGGGTATTTCTGTGGAAAAAAACAAACCGAATTCTATCAGGTTTTAGTTTAAGAGAATTAAATATTTGCATTGTGTTAGTGCAGGCACTGAAATAACACAAACCTTCTCTGCTCATACTGTAGTGTTTTTCTTCTTTCTTATGTGCCTCTTTCTAATCTGAGTTTTTCAGCTTCCAGAGGTAATTATGACTCCTGACAATCTCGGAGGAACCAGAGTGACACCAAATACATCCTTTAATAAGTTCTTTATCGTGTCTGGCCCGGCCAAGAAACAGATCTTTTAGATTCTTCTCACATGTGGCTTTGAAAGAAGATGAGGAGTGAACATTGAAGCAGCTGAGGGTGGACTTTAGCCTGGATTATACCTGTTTAACATCACTATTAACCATTCTGACCTTTACTTCAAAGCCAGATCCAAAGACCCACATTTTCCATAACTATAAAAAGGTGCCAGTGTGGGAGGCAACAGCTCCGTGTTGGAAACCCTGTTTTCAACTTCTGATGTGTGAATGATGATGTGACAGAAAGAGGAAATCCCTGCCGACACCCCAGCTGCATGGACGCTGTCTGTGGTGGGAGGCCCCCGTGCATGATTTGGATCGTGAGAAGTTTTGCTTTATTCAGCAATAAGGTGAGGCACACGAGTCAGGAGACACAATGTCCCTTTTTGTTAAACAAAAAAAAGTGAAAAAAAAAAAAGAAAAAGGAAAAAGCCTTGACCTTTCGGGAGCCTAACATGCACAAAAGTAGCCAAACTCAGGGTCCAAATCACACGCCGTCTCTGGAAAACACCTGGTAGAGGTGCAGTTTTCATTGTGAGAAAGGAAACATCCTGTAGGATAAGTTAAAGCGCAAGGTCTTTAAGACAGGCTGATCGCACCTGTCCAGTCCCCCTCCCCACTTCTCTGTGGACTATTTACAGTTTGGATTGTGGGTACGACTTCTTTGTAACGGAATGACATTTCAGAGGCTTCTCACATAAACCTGAAAACTCAGGCGTGAACATTGCCAAATATCTGTACAATACAATAGTGCTTGGTTGAGATATAAGAGTGAATCATCATGGACAGTTATCATACAGTGAGTGGCATAGTGGGATATGCATATTATTTATCAGGATATGGTGGGGAGGGTCTCAAACCCTGGAACTAAGCACTTCACATTCAGTCATCAAACCAACCCAGCTTAGACCAACAACAGAGGGTCTAAGTCTTGGACAAGTTCACTCCTCAAGAGTCAACCCAGTCAACTGTGGATTCAAGTGCATCATTTAAGGAAAAGATTATCAAGGATCATGTCGGCCTATTGCTCCAAACAACATGAAGGCCTTTGGGTGTTTGCTGTACTGGTAAAAGGCCATTTTGGACGAGATTGATTCCTAGAAAAAGTAAAGGGAGCAGGAGTAGACCAGTATTATGTACATAATCACACACCCACAGTACTACATCTCCATCAGTATCAGAGCCAGCAGCCTGTCAGGCGTTTCTCCGGGAGTTACTGGTGGCGGATGAGCGGCCTGTCTCATGGTCCGGTCTGTATTTGAGCCAGCAGATGAGCCATGTGACGACCACCGAGAACATGGCCAGGATGCTGGCTACCGACAAGCAAATGGGTCCCGCCGGCGAGGGAGGAATGCTGTGACTGTGCACAAAGATCAGGCCCATGAACAGCAACACCAGCATGGACAGAAAGGAGAAGATCACGCAGACGCAGCCGGTGGTCAGCGCCACTCTCTTGCAGCTCTGACAGCTGTCGTAGCGCACGGAGTCCTGGGAGAGAGTCGTGGCCGTGGACACGGTGGTGGACGCGGTCGCCTGGCTGGCGCTGGACGTCCCCGACGCCTCCTCCCGTCGGAGGGCGACGAGGGCTGGGTGCAGCGGGGGAGGGTACGGCGGCAAAGCGTCCTGAGGCAGGGGGTCCGAGTCGATGTAGAGCGGGAAATCTTCCGTCACCTTGGTGTTGTTGGGCAGGTTTTGTATCCGATAATCCGGCACCGGAGTCCGGTGGCGACAGACGGGGCAGCTGATGCGCCATGGCCGCTCCTCCCGGAGGTGAAGCGTGTTCAGGCACTCCTCGCAGAACGTGTGCAGGCACTCTAGGATCTTAGGAGCCCGGCGGTCAAGGTCGAAATAATTGTAGCAGATCTTGCATTCGTACTCCTCGTAGGGAAACGCCGAGGAGGCCTCGCCGGGGGGTTCCGCTCCGTTTGATGCCAAATCTACCTCTGCCATGTCATCTTTCGCCATTCACATTCTCCGGTGAACACAAAGGGAGCTGGCGGACAGATGCTGATGACGGTGCACGTCTCTCCTCCTCTCCCCCTCCTCTCCTCCCCGCTCATTGAAACGCCATCATCCCCGCAGACAGTGCTGTTGATGTGCTGTAATAATCCCCACAGAGTCCTTTATGGAGCTGCTCGGTCTGAACGATCGGGATCCCGGTTAAATATTAAAAAAGCTCCCGTTTGGTGTTCGGCTGTGCGGGAACAGATGATGTAATGGTGGTGACTCCGAGGGCTCGTCCATCCAGAGAGCCCGAGCATCCCACAGACCGGAGAGAGGGAGGGAGAGGGAGAGAGAGAGAGAGAGAGAGAGAGAGAGAGAGAGAGAGAGAGAGAGAGAGAGAGGCGATGTGCAGTCTTAAAGTCCTGTGTGTGTGGTGTGTGTGTGTGTGTGTGTGTGTGTGTGTGTGTGCTGTTGTTGTTGTTGTTGTTGTTGTTTTCGGGGCTCTGGCTGCGCAGGCAGCAGCTATGACAGCCATCTCGATCCCAATTACGTAGACCATGCCAGACCACAGGATGCGCTAATTTGGTCAACTGGGGGCGTCAATTCACTGTTTCCTGTAATAAAGAACATCTAAACTCACACAATGTGCCAGCACAACTCAAACATAGGCCTGTATTGTCTTACACTACAAGTGACTGAACGGAACAATGGCAGTTGACTGTATAGGCTGTAAAAATAGAAGAGTGATAAAGGGAAGTGGCATTAAAGTCCCGCATATTGAATAAATCATGTCAGAATGATTTGGAGTGTGGAGGCATGGTGAGGTAGAAAATCACAAATATTTCATTATGAAGGTCTACATTTTGTAGAATCTCTTATTTGTACTTTGTAAAGAACAAAGGCTGTTTTAAATACAATACAATACAAATAATTTTAGGTTGTTTAATCTTGTGCACATGGACTTCTAGAAGCAGCCTACAATTAAATTAATCAGGCAGATGTTTAAAAAAACCATACATTGTAGGCTTGTTTTTAGGTATTTCTAATAGGATATTGAAAGGGTTCAATCTCAATTCAGGTATATGTTGAACTATTCCTCTCTTGTTGTGAAGCTGATAGTTCTAGTTATATTCATCCCATTTAAATTGATATGATTACACTTAAATGACTGAGGCCCATCAGGTATAATCACATTAGTCCTGATCTGACTGTGCAGCTGTAAAGCACATGGTTGTTGTTACATGCTATAGCCTGCTATATTACCTGATGACAGGACAAGTGAAAAGTGGATTCAAGGTTTCCTTTCAGCCCTATAGAGAGAGAACTTAATGAGCAATTGCATAACAGGAGGGAAATATAGTTCTGACTTAAGAGGTTACATGCATTGTTACAGTCCCCTCTGACACACATTAAGCCTCACAGAAACCCAGGGAACTAGAAATAATAGTGCATCCTTGAATTGTCATATTATATAGAGAGAGTTTATAATAACAAATCCTCTTTTTCCTAGCACCTTGAGGACTTGCTGAGTGTCCCAAGACTCCATTTTGAGGATCATTATACTCAGTGATATATGTTCAGGGATCGTCCTACAAAATGTTGCTGTTTTGAGATTGATAAATATAGCCACAAATTTTTGAAAATAACAAGCTGAGATAAGCTACAGAATCTCTCCTATTACTCCAAAAGGCTGCACTCTAAAGTCATTTGGCTCTGTACTATCAGTTATCAGTATTTCTATGTCCCACCTCGTGTTGAACAATGGAATTAAATCTCAACGTGGTTTGGACCACTGAACTGCATACTATACAGCCCTACCTTACCGGATGTAATATATTACTCATTACTAAATATTACTATTAATATTGCTCCCTGCTAACAGTAATTAGTTACACTTCTAGTTACATTACTTTTCTGCTACTCACCACAAAATTGGTAATTGTGCCCCCTCTCCCCAAAATTCAGACTTACGCCGATTAAAAGCCAGTTTTGTTTGTTGAAATCAAAGTAATGAGAGTATTTCCAGCTGCTGAATGTAAACATTTCCATCTTCCAATATAAACCAATAATGTGATTGGATGGTTGGATTTCAAATTAGGTGACAACAAAAGTAATGCTGTAACTAATTATTGATTAGGGGGTAACTGTAATAGTATTACTGAAATGTATTAGTTATTAGTTACACTATTAGTTACTGGGGAAAGTAATCTTATTACTGTAATATTACAACTAGTAATGAGTTACTGCTCAACACTGTACCTCACACGCTGCTTACAGGTCTCACAATGCAAAGATCCAACCTCTACAGGTGTCCTGTTATCATGGAGATGCAATAAATCTTCCTTCCTCTTGCTATAAATACTTTGTGATAACATACGACCCATCCCAGAATAAAGGTCGGACAAACGCCACACAACCGGTTCAGCCCCCTCACAGCCCCGCCCCATTGCGCACACCTGTGGCGCACAGCAGCCTCACCTGTACGGAGCCTTTTTGCGCCCTGCCCGGGCAAATATCAGCTTCCATTAGCTCACCTGCTCAGACAATCCCCATCAGCCCGTTCCTGAACGTGTCTCTCTCCCCCACCTGACATGCTGGAGCTCCTGGCTTACCTGCATGACTCCGAGCTTGTGGCCCGGTTCCAGAGACGATGCGGACTCTTCCTAGTCGAAGCCGCGCATCACAGCCGAGGAGGGACGCCCGACACCCCACGTGGACAACTGAGGGGACGATGGGACCACCAGGATAATAATTCAAACTTTAAACACAAGGAGAATGGATTTGCCATTGGTGTAAGTCGTTTACTGCGAAATAATGCTCTCACTATTTATTTGCATGAAACCATAAAAGGTCATTTTAATTTCAATCAAAATGTCCCATGGAGCGTATGAAGCCAATTTGCATTTGATTCCCACAATATTTAACGCTCAAACATAGGAAACATAGGAAGTAAGTAAAGCACCAGAGAGGTTAAATGACTTAGTTAAACGAACCTTTAACATTTATTTGGAGATGTTGAGATATGCAAACCCAACAGTGACTGGCTTTTCTCGTTTGTCTGGCTGTCTGTGTCAGCCGCCTGATCCTCTTCTGCACAGTGACAGGCTGAGCCGGATTTTTACATTCTTCTCTGTCTCCACTTTCGCACATAAACAACTTAGTTAAGGTATTAAGAAAATGAAGGTGACTACAGTCAGGTTACTTTCTAATTTAGGAAGATTGATGATGTAACTGGAGCACCTAAATGGTGGTGTTCAGCATGGATGTTGTTTTATTTATTCATCTCCAATCGCTGCAATGTATTATATAAGGAATAAATAGCAAGTCCAAATGCTGCAAGTTTGAACAAATACAAATGTAGAAGCTAATGTTATAACAATACCAGAATTTTAAACTTTGATACAACACTAGAATTACAATTAAATATATATACTCAGTACTTATTTGGATACTAAGGCAAAAAGGAAAAAACATCTAATACTACATCTCTTTTTTTGGTACTTTCGATGCAGCGAATGTATAGCTATCATATACTTTTAAACATGTGATGGACAACCTTAGCAGAAACTGACATTTTGAGATGGACCAGTTGCAATACCACTCTTAAAGGGTCCTTAAGTGCTGAAGGGGCACTAAACCAAGTTTACACATGAAGGCCAGTTCACTCCTCACAAGTACTCAGCCTGTAAAAACAGTTAGTCGGGAGAGACTTAGTTTTCAAATGAACAAATGGCGATTAGACCTCATCCTGACCTCATTGTATTTGAAGGGGTTGGTGAAGCCCTGATTAGTCTAGGAAGCCCCTTATGGAGTCTAGACGCTGGTGGTGATGATGAAGGACTTCTGATGAGCTCAACCTGGGCACTGGATATGATGAACTGGAGGTGAATGGGGTGGAGGAGGGTTGTAACGATTTCACACTGAAATGACAGCTGCAAGCAGCAGAGAGGAGAACAGATTTAAAGTTTGACACCAGCAATGTGATTGGCTGGAAGTCTGATTGGTTTAACTGAAAGGATAAACGCCCACTGATTAGAAAGGAGAGTGAGAGAACATCATTTGTATAATGTCTTCTGTGGCTCAAAGTCCAAAACATAACCCCAATGATGTCATAGTGATGTCATCGGGGTTATCTTGGCTTGGGCCTGGAAAATACAGATTCCTAACAGAAAGTTAAAAAAAAGGTGTGGAGTTTAAAAGACGTGGACATTTATGAGGCGGGGGGGGTCTAAAGAACAATACTAGTTGCATTGTGGGAACTTAATGTGTACTAGAGACTAGAGGTTTCAGTCATGCTGCACTGATTTCTGACCTCTCTTTTTTTTATTTGTCTATTGTTAGTGACTGACTTTATGCAGGTACAGCACTACATTGTGCTTGGTATTTGTTCAGGTGCTATCTGAGTCAGCTGAATAAATAAATCCATTAGATTCTGACTTGCTGGCTGGTATAAATGATTAAAAACTGACTGATGTGCAGCCAGCACAAGGTGTGACTGCCGGGTTGGCTGGCAGATCTATCTCATATTTTGTGTTTGTCTGTATTATTGTGTGCAGGGCTGCAGCAGGCCTCAGTATGAGGTGAGGAACTGGCTGTTGTACTTCCTCTTCCTGTTCTCGGCAGGCCTAGGGCATGAAATCTTCTACATCACCTGTCTGCCCTGCATACAGTGGAACCTGGATCCATTCCTGTGCCGACGCCTGGTCAACATGTGGACCGTAAGTCACAGCTGGAAAGAAAAAGTGTGTGTGTGTACATGTCAGTCAGACCACCAAGTCTTCAGTCTGATGTCCGTTCGTTCCACAATGCCACCTCTCTTCTCTCTGCCCTTCGTCTCTCTCTCTTCACCTTTCAACCTCCTTTCATCCTTCTCCCCCTCCAGTGACCTGTCTCTGACACCACCATGTTCATATATCCCCAGGCCTGGGGGCCACTGGGGCCAGCCTGACCAGGGCCCCTGACATGGTGAGAGCCCACACATGAGGACACATCAGTGGGAAAAGACAGCTAGGATCTCCCCTTAAGATGTTTATTCTGATAGAATCCAGCACATTGTGACAAAAGACCCTGAAAACATGTCACATGCGATCCCAGGAGGAGTGTGTTTGACACTTCTAGGGACAAGCAGACAGACACAGACAGCTATATCCCCTCACTCCTGCAGCGTGTGTGTGTTAGGCAGTGTGTTTTTGTGCCCTTTGTGTCCCCGCCCCGAGCGCTTGGTGGGTGCCCTGTGTCTGAACCCCATGTTTGGCCCCCCAGGGAAAGAGATACCATTCTTCTGGCATCCTGGCTGCACCAGGCCCCTGTGTGAACTCCTTTCAAACACACATAAACACCAACACACACACATGCTCGCACTCCCCACCTCGCCCACTAAACACACTCATTGCCCTCCCTCTAGTTAGACATTACCAGCTTTTACTCTGTGTCCTCCTCCCCCTGGTCTACCGGCAGAGTGTTTTATTGGCCTCATCAGCGCTGTGAGCTTTCTCTCTCTGGACCGACCATTTGGTCTGTCAGCCCTCGGGGTGCTTCACCCCGCACTTCTAACTTCTAACAGCACCCTGCCATTGTGCTGGTGGAGTTATCTAAGGTTCATGGAGGGCCATTCTCTCTCTCTCTCTCTCTCTCTCTCTCTCTCTCTCTCTCTCTCTCTCTCTCTCTCTCTCTCTCTCTCTCTCTCTCTGCTCTGTCTCGCACACAAAACTGGCAACTCACGCCAACGACTGAAGTGCACCCATGCAAATTAAGACTTGTATGGATAAGCAAACAAATTACAGGCCCAGGAATGACACGCACACACACACACACACACACACACACACACACACACACACACACACACAGACATAACATACACACGTACCTTTATGTCCTTCACTACCCTCTTTTGCCTTTACTTGCAGTGTGACTTTGGTCGACTTAGAAAACAATAACTGTCATTAAGCATATGGTCATGAATTACATTGCCCTGTTGTATGTTATTATTGTAGCATAGTGTTATGCAAATCATACACCTACTGTGCTGCGTGGAATATCAAACAGTTGTACTTTAACATAATGACACAGAGGGCATATACACTATGATGTGGATAGCTGAAGAATGCTTAGAAAGGAACCACATGTAAAGTTTTCTCTAGTGATGACAGATGATGCTCACATTCAATGACATAACTCACTTTACTCCCAGAAGACTAAACTTTTTCAGCGATACGTCCGTCCTGTCATCAGGACTGTGGTCACTGCTGTTTGTACTGGCATATAAACTACATTTTTCTGTTATAAGTTCAAAGTGCTTAAAAATAACCAGAATGAAAATGAATAATTAATAAAGTATAGTTGACAAAAAGGTTTACCAACTGTGAGCTATGACTTAAGAAAAGTATGACACACTACGATTTATGAGCAGATAAAACAATGTGACTGTTGATCGGACCAAATTGGACCAGGTCTGTTCCAGTCTGGGTCAGTTGCTCATATATAAATAGTCAAATCTGTCATTAAGATTGTGTTTGATGTTTGCGACATACATCGATAACCGAAGATGTCCCTTGTGTCGCCTCTGGGAGACGTACTTGTAAATAAACAAAAGAAGAAGAAGAATGGAGAAGAAAGGTTTGTGGTATGAGACTACACTGGACAACTGAAACAGAGGATCTCACCCAACTTTTGTCCCTCTTTTTTTTTTGGCCTTTCCAGCACAAATTGCACTACAGTGGAGCAAAGTGCAGGTTGCTGTTGTCGTTTATTTTGGTACAAGAACATGCCACAATTGGCTTCCTCGTAGGATTTGTGGGCTCATCTACAGCCAGAACTCCAGTTGTTAGTGTTCAGTATGTTGTCTAGTGTATTAACTCAGACGTAAGGTTCCTGCTCCTTCCTAACTGTCAAAGAATAAAATATATATCTGCAAGTTGCTGGAAACAAGTTGTGCCATTTTTAGAGATTTCAGCTAGTCTTCAGGTTCGGATCTTCGGCCATTAATTGGTGCTTAAATGCTAACGGCAGTATGTTAACTAATCACAGTGACAATGCTAACATGTTGATGTTTAGCCTGTAGGTATAATGTTTACAATGTCCACTACCTTTAGTTCAGTGGGTTAGCATATTACCATTTGCTAATTAGCACTAAACAAAGTAAAGTAAAGCTGAGGCTGATGAGAATGTCATTAGTTTTGCAGATTGTCATTGATATTGTGAGCATGTTAGCATGCGGACATTAGCATTAGCCTCACAGAGCCACTAGCACAGCAGTATACTTTAATTTAAGGTGGTTGTTGTTGTTGTTGTTGTTTTTATCACTCAGCAAAACAAAAACTGTACAAAACTCTGGAACAGCAATACAAATAAAAATAAAACAGATTAAACTAAACACAAGAGGATGGTAAGTCAATAAGAAGACCAGAAAAGGCTGAGCAGCACTTTAAACCTGGACTTTAAAGTCTGCTGTGTTACTAAGGTTATCTCAGTATTTGAAGGAACCATGTTGTTGGATTTGGCGTATTTCCTCCACAGAGATATTATGGAGGAACATATTTGCAGAAATTACTTCTTGGTTCAAGAGAGCCGGTAGCAGTATGACTCCCAAAATACCCATTGTACAAATCAATAGTTCTACAGTCAGTTACACTAATGGCGTTACTATCACTGACTTAATGTAATATTGTCACATATGTTACTGTTTTGCAAAGATCATTTTTTTACAATAATTTATACGAGAATTCACCTTAAGATTTATTATTACCAGTAGGCCTATTAAGCCTTTTCCAAAAATATATGGTGCTTTATGTGATGAACTTTATTTTCCTTGGTGGTCAGTGGGCTGTTGCATCACCAGTATGAACCAAATCAGCTATTTATTATGTTGCTGTGCAATAAAACAAACATCTTGTGTGTTTTCTCCATACAAACAGTGACCCGTACAATAGCCCCTCTTTCGCGTGTCTACGCACACACTGTCTCACACACACATTCACCGTGATCCACATGTTGACAGATCAAAGTCCAAAGCTGGCCTCGATCAATACACTTATTCACGAGAAAACACACACACACTAGCACAACTATCTGTCTGTGTGTCTTGGCCTGTCTCTAACTCTTCCCCTAATGTGACCAGACTGTCCCTGGGTCAGCCCTTTGATGTGACTCGTACAAAGACACCAATGAGACACTGGCTTTACTGGAGCCAGCTGAATATGTTTGTGTTGACGCTGAGTGCAGGGGGGTGGGGCGAGGGCATCATATCATGCAAGCACTTCAACTGGTAGGCAGATTAATTGTGTGAGGGCAGAGTGGGGCACGCAGTGGATGATGTACACACAGTATGGCTTGTTGTATGAATGCACAGTCATGCTGAATGGATGGGGTCAGGCGTGCTAAATGGGTGTACCATTGTCTGTCTTCTGTTTACTGTCCACTTCATGGTACCAATTATTCTGTCTGGGTGCATGTGTGTAGGTTCAGTGTAGGTAGATGCAAATATTGGAATTGTAAACTTTCCATTCAGGCACTGCCAAAGGACAAGGAGAGATGGAAAATAAATATTCAGCTTTTGGAAAGAGTAAGAGATTATTGTTGTTGGGACTAGAGACTGCAGGCTGTTAGCTTAGCTTAGCTTAGCTTAGCATAAACACAGATGGCAGGGCTGAAACTGCTAACCTGACAATATCTAAAGTTCAAAAAGTATGATTACCATCAATTCTGAAGCTCACAAATTAATATGTTGTACCTTATTTGTTTAATCTGTGAGGTTTCCATGGCTGAAAAATGAAGCCAATGCAGAAGTGCCAAAAACTGCAGTACCTTGAACGGCCACACTGGCTCCAAAAGCCCCCATGTTAGAATTAAAAAAACCTTACAGCAGAAATAACCAGGGTTTACAGCCTGTTAAATATATATATAAACTATAGCTAGTGTTTCCCAGTCCATGACAACTGTACAGAAGGTGCATTTTTATATAACTCACCCTTTTAAGTTATATTAAGGCTTAAAGTTATGCATAATTAAGAGCACGGCCGCTTTAAGTGACAGGTAGGTGCTGTTTTCAGTAACTAGGTTTTATTTGGCCCACCTCAGCTCTTCCCACACATAACGTTTTTTTGCCCATTTTTGGATTAGCCAGGTGGCAGTGGAGTCAGCGCTGCCAAGATGGCAATGGCTGGAGCCGACCATGCTCAGCTTCAGAACAGTTTGACAGAAACCTATGGGTGACGTAACAGAGACTGTGTTCATTTTTTTAATCTATTATCAATGAAGACACTGCAAAAAAGTACTGGGTGGATGGATATACTGTTCTTCAAAATGTAGTTACAGAACCTAACTCCCCTTAAACCCACAGATTAAACAAATATTACAATACAATGTATTAATGAGTTTTAAATCAGGTATATTTATGTACTTTGGAGAAAGCCAAGCTAGGTATCTCCCCCTGCTCCCAGTTGTTATACTAAAACCTAAACTTGGCTCCAGCTCCGTAAAGCAACATTATGTACAATTTGACATTTTTTGCAACTTGGTGCCGGAAGTTTCACAGTACCTACACTGCATCTTTGTTCCAACAGTTTGGGGAAGACACGTGCACAAAGCCAGGTTCACAGAGAAGTGTTTTCCCAGTTTGGTGTTGAAGAACTTGACTGGCCTGCACTGATCCCTGACCTCAACCCCATCCAGCACCTTTGGGGTGAACTGGAACACTGACTTCAGGGCAGGCTTTATTGCCAAGCATCAGTGCCAGACCTCACTAATGCTGTTGTGCTGAATGGGAACAAATCCCTGCAGCCAGGATCCACAACCTTGTCACGTCTCTGCCTCCGCTATTCAGAGAAATCTATTGGATTATGGCAGCCTATTAATTGGAATGAGAGGGTGTATTGTTCTTTTGTCCACATATTTCTGGCCATTTTGAGTACTTAATTTCATCCATCCGCGTGCCTCTGTGTCTTCAAGTTGCTGCACTAACAGCGGGTCAGTAGACGTACTTTTATATCTCATTTGCCATGGTAACAAGAATTTCCTGATTACAGTGTCAGTAGAGATGGTAATAACAACCTCTCCATTCTCTCCTTTAAACACACACATTAGTGTCCTGCTCGCTCTCTCTGCACTGCCTCCCTGCTCCTCGCTAAGACAGCCATTCATTAAATATACAAGGCAGAGCTTTAAATAAACCTGGAGCTGGAGCAGGCCGCCCCTCCGAGGGCCGCTGGGGATCTCATGAAAGAGAATAGGCAGCACATTTGGCAGGACACACACACACACACACACACACACACACACACACACACACACACACACACACACATACCTATACGCACACACACCTTGCACTGAGTGTGTCATTGTGTCAAGAGCTCTCAGTCTGACTCCACCAGCTAAAGACGTTGTGTCAGCAGAAAACACTGCCTTCTTTAATTCTCAGTTTCTTACAATAGATTTTGTTTCTGTATGACTGCAGCATCTGCACTTTATACCAGGGTGGGTCTCCACTTTTTTTTTTTTTTTTTTTGTTGAGTGGGAATGGTGATTACTTATTTATGAGAGACGGTGGTTAGTTTTAGAGCATAGCCTAATCAGGATTTTACTTCCTCTGCTCATTATTTTATTATCATCTTCCTCCATCTCTAATTTTTGCTTTTGTGGCCAGCACACTGCACTATACTCTTCTCTATTCCTTTCTGGTATTTGATTGTAATGATGCAGTATTTCTTATTTCTGTCAGGTATAGATGATTAATCAAACCGTATGAAGCATTTTTTACATAAGGCTCAATATTGCAACTGAAAGATAGAATAATGGTTCTTTTAACCTTTTTTCCCCATCAGAATTCATGCAAATGTGGAAATCTGATAAAAATCTAATTTTGAATCAATTCAGAGTTAAGTTTTCAAAAAATAGATATTTATAAAACATTACAAGTACAAATGCCATCTGGATGTAATAAAAGATATTTGGTGGGACCCTGCTTGTAAGAGACTAATATCCTCTCTCCTCTCTCAGGTGGTGATGTACGTTGGCCAGGTGATGAAAGATTTGCTGAAGCTGCCTCGCCCTCTCTCACCCCCTGTGGTCAAGCTGGAGACGCGTGTCAATGCAGAGTACGGGCTGCCCTCCACCCATGCCATGGCTGCCACCGCCATCTCCTTCACGCTTTTACTAAGCGCTCCCTCCAGGATACAGGTGAGCGTCACTGATGGCTGTGATTAGATACAAAGGTACTCTTTGCCGTTGGGAGCTACAGTACTTACTCACAAATATCATGTTGCTTCGTAATTATTACATGTGTAGTAAATGTTAATGCACATTAGATTATTCGGTTTTATGAATGGCATTAGCATGTTGTTTGCCCGGGTCATCACTTTGATCCAGCCTGAATTATCTATTGGACTGTCAGGAAATTTTGTGCGGGCATTCGTGGTGCCCAGAGGATGAAGCCTAATGACTGAGGCAATCCTCTGACTTCTCTTCTAAAGCCACAATGTGGTTGAAATTTGTTTTTATTTGTAGTGAAATGTCTTGATAACTATTATAGATTGCCATAAAATTTGGCACAGACATTCTCATGTTCCCTTCAGGATGAACTTTAATAGCTTTAATGATCTCTTGACTTTTCCTCTAGTGCCATTATCACACCAAAAAGACACTGACTTTAGCATTTAGTTCACAGCTCAGCTGTTCTGAAGTAAAGCCTCACAGAGCCCCTGGCTGTAGACTCTTACCTTTGGTTTGCTATACATATGGTGCGTTCCATTTATCTCGGAAGTCCACAGTTCGAGCTGGGAATGACATCACACCCGAGCTGACCGGGTCGGAAACCAAGCTAGAAGCCACTGTTAGCAGTACCAGTTGATAACAACGCAGTACGCTGCATTTAACTCCACAGACAAAAGTGAGAGAAATGAGACACAAAAGTCGGAAGTGTTAACAAACAGAATAACTTTCTCTTAGTTGATGCATGGAGCAGCCATCTTGGATTTCTCTGTCAGGGTTGGTGACTTCCAAGTTCAAATGAAATGTACCAATACTCTTACCAAGGGTGGTAAAGAACTTGTTATATTTTCTAAATATATAATCTCCCCTGTGACTAATGAAGCATCTCTCCTGTGGATGATTATGGAAACAGAATACCACCACTTGTTCCATTATTGTCTGATATTTAGAGATGGCAATAACAGTCACTGTGCATGGTTTCTTGATTGGCAATTGTAATATTAATACTGAAAGTGTAATAGTCTATGGTTACACTATTCATCACTATGAAACATTATATTACCACAATTGCTGCAAATGATGTACTTACACCTCATTAGAGCCGGGAAGAGAAGGCTAAGTGGAAGTTGAACTGTAATTGTGACCCTAGGTATCTTATTAGCAGTGCTGTAACATTAACACTGAATGTTATGGATTCGCTTTAAGATCAGCGAGGCACCAGTTAAAATGAGTTGATCCAAGTGAGCAGCTTCACTCAGATCATAGCATTGAAGGCAGTACAATTTAAGGCACTGGGAGCCTGTGGATGGCAGCTTGCTCACTGGTAGCTGAGTGGGATGAAGGGAGTGGCCCCGCTGTCCATCACAGAGTCCTGACTGAGCTGTTGGACAATGGGCAGGGTGGGGCGGGGCCAGCAGTCACCATCAGTCACCATCAGCCACACCCGTCGAGCTGCTGTTTGGTCTTCTGATGGACTCGACTGAGTCAATGACTGTCAGTCCACGTCTCCACCTCCCTCCTCCTCCTCCTCCTGACTCTTCCCCTCTTTATCTCTCTCACTCCACTGCCAAGTCAATAAAACACTCAATGGCTCAATCATAGGCTGTCTTAATCAAGCGCTGTGTTTTAATGAAGAACTGAGTTAATGCTAAATCCTTCACTTAGTAGTTTACGGCCTCAGCAGCTGTCGGCTTGATTTGTGGCCACATCATTTCAGCTATTCGCCTTCAGTTTCCTGCAGTGGCATTCTCAAGGTCAAAGAAATCTTCTCAACAATCCGTTGAGACACCCCGTGTACAGCAGAGCACTTAACTGTGGCCTGAAAGTCCTCCAGGATTCCCCTGAAATAAAAGAGCATGCATAGCTACAGATAAGTAGCAGGCTGTTGCAGAGGTTCCTGAATAGCCACAAGGCCTCAGGGCAACTCGGCTGGTTCCCGAAGCAGGTCGGAGGTCACGACAGTCAATCACAGAGTGACCCCCCTCCTGTCCCTGGCGTCCTTTGTGGCCATTCAAAAAAACCCCTCTCTTCATGAACTACCAGTGAATAGGCTTCCAGCTGCAAAAGACAGGAAAAGACACAGGAAAAAAGGCATAGGGGGGGGCACAGGAGGGGAGGGTGGAGGAGGTGAATGAATACACAAGGCCTCTCTTCTCACTGTTATTGAAATGGAGGGGGGAACAAAACCTGCCGCCATAGGTAAAGGAGGGAGGGGAGAGAAGATGGAGAGACAGTAGAGGAATAAAGGAGCAGTGAGTTAATGACGGGCAGTACGTCAGCCCGGCAGAATGGATCAAGCGGCAGAGAGAGGACTTACACGTCGCCATTAAGAGGACTGACGAATGGATGATGTGATGACAAACTAACAGGAAGAGGATAAAAAGGGCCAAATGACAACTGTTCTTGTGTTTTCAACGAGGAATGTGAGGAATGTTAGCCGCACGTGACACATACCAGTCTACTTTCACACATTTCATCTTACATCTTCACCCTTATCAGGGAGGGGTGTGTGTCATTGTGTGTGTGAGGGTATCTACACATCGCTGTGATGGTTGGTGATCTAAGTGTGTGTTTTTCTCTCTCAGTTCCAATTCGAGGTGGGTCTGCTGATCGCAGTGACGCTGTCGTCCTTGGTGTGTCTGAGCCGCCTCTACACTGGCATGCATTCGGTTTTGGTGAGCTAGTCCCTCCACACACACACACACACACACACACACACAAACTACAGCATAAAACATTCAAGCTCAATGCAGGATTCATAATTCATATGTGTGTGTGTTTAAACTGTCTGTCTGAGGCTTTGATCCAAGACTTTTAATGCAGAAGCCACTTTGTTTCTTTTCATTTGGAAATCTTGAATTTTAAAAGTTATATAAGCTATTAAATGAGTTATGTTTAAGGATATATTTATCACTGAGTGTTTTTATTCCTAAAAATAATAGTTTGACATTTTGGGACATAAGCTTATTTGCTTTCTTGCCAGGAGTTGGACGAGAAAATTCAAATCATTTTCATGTCTATTAAACGTAGTGCTCAAACTAGTAGCCGGTTAGCTTAGCTTAGCAGAAACACTGTAAACAAGGGGAAACAGCTAGCCTGGCCCTGTCCAAATGTAACAAAATCATACCAGGATCTAAAGCTCACAATTAACACATATAATCAGTAAAAAGGACAAACCTGTGACAAGTTGTGCTTTTAGGGGGGGTTATTGCACCTGTAAAACCACAACTTGTCATTTTAAACATTTCTTTCTTGTTTTTTTTTCTGTTTTTAATGTTAACTTGTGAGCTTTAGAGGCGCTACTAGGCAGACTGACTGAACCAGGCTAGCTGTTTCACCTGTTTCCAGTTGATCAAAGCTAACTAGGCTAACTGGCTGTGGCCCTATATTTACACACGAGTGATATCGGTCTTTTCACCTAACTCTTAGCAGGAAAGTGTTTTTATTATTCAACTATTGCTCTAAGAGCGGCTGGTTAAACATACTGTTTTGCTTTCAGGATGTGATCTGTGGCGCATTAATCTCCGCCATCCTCGTGTTCCTCACCTACCCATACTGGGAAACCTTCGACCATTTCCAGCTCAACAGCCGTATCTCCCCCATCGTGGGGTTGTTGTTGCCCCTCTTCCTCAGCTACAAGTACCCGGAGCTGGACCATTACAGCACCACGCGGGGGGACACAACCATCATTCTAGGAGTAGGGGCTGGGTGCTCTGTGGGATACTGGGTGAATGAACAGCTGGGGCAGACATTGGTGCCCCAGGGGGTGCTACCTGTGCCCCTACCCACACTGACGCCAAATGTGCTGGCACTAGGCGCGGTCCGCCACCTCGTGGGAGTTGTAGCATTAGTGGGAACTCGGCAGGTGGTGAAAACCTTGAGCCTGCAGGTGTTGTATTCATGGTACGGCGTGGCAAAAAATGACGACAGTGCCAGGAGGAGGAGAGAGATCGAAGTGCCTTACAAGTTCACCACATACACTGCTGTTGGACTTGTTAATTCTATACTGGTCAATAGAGTGTTCATTCTACTGGGGCTAATGTGATCTATTAACACAACACTAATGTATAAGGACCTGAACTGAACACAAATGTACCTCATATTTATTTCAATGTGCATCAAATGACCTTTTCTACAGGTTAACTTTCTCATACAAGCAGCTTGGGCGGGGAATGATTGACAAGTGTACTTGTAACTGAGCTGAAAGCAAATCCAATATTTTGTTCAGGCAGCAATAAAGTTTTTATAACTTAATTCCCAGTTTTGTCATTGTTTGAACTGTGTAGTCAAGGCAGTGGCACAGTCTTAATGCACTGGTGTGTATTTCAGAAGCTACACAACATGCAAGTCCTCTTCCAATGGGAGGACCCCACCTTGAGCCCGACAGGCTTATTCCAGTATGGTAAATACTATCAAAACCAGTTTAACTGAAACTTGGCAACTTCATTTAAATGGAACCTGTGTTTGCCTTTGTTCTTTAAGTCCTATCACTTGGCAGGTTAGAACAGGCCATATGCTAACCAAATGGGCCTGGTTACTGTGTTTTTAGTGCTGACTGGGTAGTAATGAAAGAGTTAACCGTCCCTTTGCTACAGCAGAGTTTGAAGGAATGCCGGCACACCTGTCAGACTGAATTTACGAGACGACTTGTTGTCTGCACAGCACACGTTCATATGGGAGGCTACTGGCTGCAACAGCGCCTGTTGAAATGACAGTAAGGCATCAGATACAGTGAAAGTCTGTGTACTTGTTACCTGATAAAAACATATGCATGACAAAAGGGGAAGAAAAGAACACAATTCAAAGTACTCGGTCAAAAGTTAGGATGGCTTTATTTGATGTTTGAAGGCAAGAATCTTTTGTACTTGTATCAAAGGATAAACAGTCTTTTCAAATGAAGGACCTGAGCTTAAATGGACGCTGGAATAGTGGCTGAACATTGTGTTTCATATTACATCATCTAAAACCAAGACCAGAAGACATCAGATGGTACCACTCAGTGAATTTATTCTGTGTTAGCATGATTCAGATCTTATTGAAGGCAGCCACATCCACAGACTGAACATATTCCTCGAAGGCGGTGATGGCTTCCTCCAGCAGATCTGTGCCCACTTTATCATCCTCCACCACGCATCCTATCTGAAGCTTCTTGATGCCGTAGCCCACCGGGACCAGCTTGGACTGCCCCCACAGCAGCCCGTCCATGCTGATGCTGCGGACGAACTCTTCCAGCTTGCCCATGTCTGTCTCGTCGTCCCAGGGCTTGACGTCAAGCAGGATGGAGGACTTGGCAACGAGAGCTGGCTTCTTGGACTTCTTGGCAGCGTACTCAGCAAGGCGCTGCTCCTTGATCCTAGCCGCCTCTGCGCCGTCGTCCTCATCGTCTGAGCCAAATAGGTCGATGTCGTCGTCGTCGCTGGTGTTGTTTGTCAAGGCGGGGGGAGTCGCTGGGAGGACAAACTGACTCTTGGCTGATGGGAGGCTGGCTCTTTCTCTCTGGAAGGACTTTATGTGGTTGTACCAACGCCTGAGGTGGCAGAAGGTCGGAGAAGGAGCAGAAGGGATGGCATCGAACACTGTCGTATCAGCCTGGGATGCCGCAAAGCCCTCCATGTAGCTTTTCTCTGCCAGAAAATCATTGAGAGCTTTAAGGCCGGCTGGCGTGCTCATGTCACCAAACACAGTTTTAGTGGAAGTTGGGCGGGAGGACGGGGGCTGAGAGGATGCATCTTGCGTGGGGAACGTGTGCTTGATTACTTCCTGCATGGGGACGTCGTGTGTGAGGGTGGTTTCAGCTGTGTGGCCACTGGAAGAACCAAGGCAACAAAGCAACAGGTAATGAGTCACTGAGTTTAATGACCATGCACCAACCCCAAGGCACTAGTAACCTAAATTAAGAACAGGCATGCATGTACAAGCCCACACACACGCATGCACACCATTCACGTCACAAACACAATGGAGTCTTGTTAATTTTTAATTTTTCTGACTTCAGTAAAAAAAACAGCCTTGTTACTGATATATAAAACACAATGGCTCCACGTAATAATGCTGCAGTTTGGTCCTTTGCTTTTCTCCTGCACCAGATACAAAGATAATCTGCAGCCAAAAGCCATTATTTTATTAACACATTTTAAGCCTCATATTTTCCTCATGAATCTCATTGCTTTATAAACTATGTATTTTTAAGCAGGGGTTTAGGTTTAGGAAGGTGAAATCACAGGAAGGGCTCGATGTCCATCTCCAGCGCCGAGCAGGGCATGGTCAGCTCGAAGCGGTTGATGACGTCTGGGTGGAGGACGCCAAGACGCCCCACGCTCTTTCCACGAACGAAGATCTCTGCGCAGCGACCAGGGAAAAAGGTGGAATCTAAGAGAAGAAAAAAAGAAAACGAGGAGTATAAATGTAAATTAACCGAATCATTACTTAGCGAGAAGACAGTTGCGAGTGGATTTTAGGGTTACATCATTTAGTGGATAACGCCTACACTTGGCACAGACTTCCTCTTCTTTTGCTAAAGCCCAGACTGTTGAGGCACATCACATCCTTTTGTAGCCTCCTTTTTAAAACAACAATTATCACCTCCACTTGTTTGCAATCTGTTTGTATCCTGGCAAACTATTTTGGACCAGTGTTACTATTTAACGTGCCATCTGTTTGTTCTTGGAACACATTCCTGCCACTATATAGTTGCAACACTTTGGACTTGCACTTTATTGTGGAAGCATTTGTATTGTATCAAGTATTGAGGACGTCCTCTGTGTCAGGCATTCATCTTAAGTGGTTTTTGCACATCGTATGACAGAAATTATGAGTCAATCATACAGTGTGGGCGGTACTGTTCTGCCTTTCTTGTTCCTTGATTTTCTCTTGTTAATGGTTTGTTCTCCCACATTGGTTGATAATGATCAGTTCTTCATCAGTTTCTTCCAAACAAAACCTAACCAAGGCTTCAATTCCTGAACACATAATTTGCTAAAGAACGCCCTTTTCAGAAGTGAAAAAATAAAAGCTTTAGACAGCTGGATTGCTATCCATCATTGACAAAGCAGCAAAATTAATGGCGTTTATGTGAAAATGTCACAGGTCATTACTGTAAAGCAGCCATTTGACCATAATTACATTTTTCTGTCCCCCCCCCCCCCCCCCCCCCCCCCCACACACACACACACACACACACACACACACACACACACACACACACACTCTTTCTGATTAAAATCTGATGCTCCAGTTTTGTACGTCAGTGTCATGAGTAAAGGTCACTTTAGTCCACAGGGAATAAAAAGCCTCCATCATCAGTGAGATGAAAAAACACATGTCAATGTAAGAGGCGTTCGCTCAAAACCAGTGACGAGTACACAGACAGAAAGACGGACTTGTCAGAGATTTAACAAGATACGGGGGTTGCCATGACAACAGCCCCACACACACAGACATGGCATTCTCCCATAGTGCACTGCTTCTTCCCACGCTGCCTTGCTAATGGGTTCCAGAGCCCACTGCTTAGATCACTCATCACTATGTATGAAGGTTTGCAGAACACATGGACTGAGTGTGTGTGTGTGTGTGTGTGTGTGTGTGTGTGTGTGTGTGTGTGTGTGTGTGTGTGTGTGTGTGTGGAGGAGACTCAAACAGGGACATTTTAACAGACATGCTGAAATAAATGGTGTTTATTTCGGTTGCCTGTTCTGTGTCTGTTAGGTGTATTAAATCGGTGGTATGTGCTTGCGTCGGTTCACACGTCATCTACTTGTACCATGAGCAGGATGCCATGGCAACTATATAAATAGCTCTGGTACATCTTAAATAACCAATCAGTCAATGAAAATCCTACACTTGAGCCGGGCCACTTTCCGCCCACTCTCCTCCAACTTTCGGCAAAGCTTTCAGCGGAAAGGAGAGTTAGACAGCTGCATCAGATATGTCAATATAACTGACATGATTTTTACCATAGGATTTAATACTACTTTATACAACTGGACTGAGAATTCACACAGGTTCTTACTCCAGCAACAAAAGCCTGCAATGGAAGGAACGCCTCAACCTGCATTAAGGAGCTCCTAACACGCCTAAAATGGTTACTAGCATGAGTGACTTCCAAGGATGATGATGTAGTATGGGTTTCAGTGTTGAGGTTCTTGTTTGTGGTTTTCAGGGTTTCCGTGCTGAAAGGAATACTTTTTTGGTCAAAAACGTTGAAATTGAAAATCATCACCATTAAAAGATAATTCTAGTTTAATTCCTGGTCTTGTTTTCACAGAGAATTATCACCTGAATCTGCAGCTCCCCTCGTCTTTACAGAGCTTTATAGTGAGTTAAGGGTCTCTTTTCAGTGAAAAAGCTCTAAAAACCCTATGATCAGCACCAAACAGCCGACAGATAAGTTAGCAAGTAGCTAATAAATACTTTTGCATTTAGCATCTAAAGAGCCAAATATTTCTCTAAGGAGTTGGTGAAACAAAAACAGAGCTAAAAGATAGTATTGGGAATATTGGGCTTATATTCACCAGGAGACAAGAAACACAACTCCAAATGAATGACAATGTGTCTTTGTAACTGCTGGATGTGGAAATAAAAAACTGTTTGCTTCACCAAATCAACTTAAAAAGGTCCCCTTCCATGCATGAAGGAGAACCTTTGGTGACCGCGAGATGTCCGAAAAACACTAACGCCACTATCTAGAGCCAGCGTTTGGTTTGTCCATTCTAGGCTACTGTACAGTGTGTGGTGGACACCATGACAATTGTTATTTTATGATGATTAAACACATAGTTATGAATATTATATTCTATTTTTCTCAATAGATCCTCCTAAATGTTGCACACTGGACCTTTAAGGTGATAACATGTCAAACTTGTTTCTGCTGCCCCCAAGTGGACAAAAAAAATCAGTTAATGCAAGTTTAAATAAACATAATAAACATCAATATTAACCGTAAAAATATATAGGCCAAAGACTTACAGTCAATTACTGACAAAAAAAATAAAAAATAAAAGTCACAATTCCTAACAAAGGGTGTATTTGCCAAGACTTTGCATTGGATACAGTTGTTAAGTGAAACACAGGCATCTGTCTCTTAAGTGGTTTCTTCCGCCACTTCTGATCCCCTGACTCGTTATTTCATCCCCGTATCCCAGCTGAGTGGAGGAAACTCAGCTGACATCTATTCCCTCAGCCACTCTCTCTCTCCGTGCTGGGAGTGAAGGCGAGTTATCGATAGTGCTGTTTCACCATGCTGATGGACACATCCT